GCTCGGAGGTTGGATCAGGTGAGGGTTCAGGGTTTGGGGGTTTAGGGTTTAGGATGTATACCGATTTTTTTGGCTCTGGGCCAATGTCTGTCGCGGCCATTAATACAATCCTTACGACAGGGACCCCTGAACTTTGAGCACCTCGATCTCAGGAAGCTAAGGCTTCAAAGACCTGATTGGAATCCTGGTGGGATGATGCCTGGATAGTTGTCCACTCCTCGCAGGGCCATGAGCAGACATTCAAACAATGACTCCTGTACAGAATACACATATTCCGCTTTCAATGCAAAAACGCTTGATCACGAGGCATCCTCTATAATTTGAGAAACCCAATATCAAACACTCCCACCTAATAGCCCAGAACCTCATAAACATCCCAAGAATGCCAATAAAATTCTAGGACATGAATCCCCAAGCCTAGCTTTCATATCCCACATTCAAAGCTCCTTGTAGGCTCCTGAGCCCAGGGCCTGCTCCCAACATCATGATGAGGTCGCCTCCCGGATTACCAATCATAGTAAGAACCCCTTTTGATAAGATAGTAGTTTCCATTTTACTCTCCATTATCCCTATATGACCCTATACTATCCCAATATTATCCCAATATTACCATGCTAGACACAGGATGTGGGAGTTGCTCTGTTTTCGTTTTGACCGAGGGGCAGAGGCCACTTGGGGGCTTTGAAAGGAAAGTTCGGGAATTGCCTGGGCTTGGGAAGGCGCTAAACCTTTGACCCTGAACCCTAAATCCTAAACCCTAAACCCTGAGTAGGGGAAGCTTAGGAGTTCGACATCTTACAGCTTCACCTTCACTGGCTTTAGACATCCGGGTGGACTGCCTCGACGCTGTAGTTGTATTTAGGTACAGGGCAAAGCGTGTCCCGTGCGCATCGGATAGCGTGGTAATGAATGCCAGTAGTTGTGGTTGTGGGATTCTTAAGTATGCTTGTGCAATTATCAAAGGAATGAAGCAGAACGATGGTGCACGGGCTTGGTACCCCCAATGCAGACGCAGCCCACATAACTGAGTGTGACTTCGAAACTTGTATGCATGGCGAGCGAAACTGTTACTCACGACTGTGACCAACATCAGCCAAGCTCAGCCAAACTCTTAAAATTGAATTCTCCAATGCTGCGACCCAAATCTGGGTTTGAAACCAAGTATCACTGTACTTAACTAGATGAGTAGTTCCGAAAATTAGGGTGCCATGTTAGTACTCCTAAATTTTAGGTGCCGTAATGTAATCTATAGACAAAAGGGGCCCATAATTTTGACAACAACGCAGATAACCCAAGACTTCCAAGTCTGAAGAAGAACTACGCCCCTAAATCCTCTACCCTAAACCCTCGACCCTAGACCCGAAACCCTAAACCCTAAACCTCAAACCCCAAGCCCTAAATGGTAGCCTCGGCCGTCCTTGGTCACAGGAGGATTGCCCTTCTCCTGGCACATGCTGCGCGGGAGTAAGGCCAGGAGGGCGACGGGGTTTAGGGTTTAGGGTTTAAGATTTTGGATTTTGGGGTTTAGGGTTTCGGGTTTAGGGTTTAAGATTTTGGATTTTGGGGTTTAGGGTTTACAGGCTAGGGTTGAGGGTTGAAGGTTTGGGTTTAGGGATTAGGGATAGTGACCCCAATATACTTTTTAGTAGATTTCATTTTCTTTTGCATTATCCCTATCAATAACCCCACTATACAACCCCAAAATACTAGCTTCCATGGCAGTACGCATTTGAGTCATGACAACATTGGTAGCAACTAAGTGACAACAATGGTGGTAGGGATTTGAGGGACGTAGCCACAAATCCTTGTAAAGGAATCAATGCAGGTCACCGGTCAGCCGAGTGGAAAGCTGCTTGGGCACTTAACAGATTCCTCTTCCAGGCTGCAGCATGACACCAGTATCACTGCACGACGAGGTTTGCTATGAACAAAAGAGCTATAGTCTAAACTTTAAAGGGGCTTCTATAGGGGATTATTATAGGGGTTATGAAGGGGAACACTAGGAGTTTAGACAATGGCCCCTTTGTGAGCCTAACAGAACAGGCCGAACTCGGGCTGCCATAGAAGAGGCTCCATCTCCCAAGCACGCAAACAAATGTGCTGCATGTTTGTCAAGCACTATGACGCGCTGCTGAAGGAGGCAATCCGATGTAACCCTGAAGCAGGCAACTGGACTATTTTGTAAGTGTCTACTTGCAGGTGGACTTGTAGTGAGGCAACACAATAGGGAACCGGCACACCTGCAGCCACCAACCTACATCTACCAAGGTCAGCCAGCTGTGCCACGCCGGGGACCCTAGCGTAGTGAGCCACCTGAGGCAGGACGCATGCTGAGATTGGCATATCATACCTTTCAAACAATGCGGTTTCGGCCGGGGCTTGTGTGTTTGGGGCTTTGGATGGAATGTTTGAGGTTGCTGTCGCTCAGGAACGTCACGCTTTGTGGCAGGGATGAGCCAATCGCTGTAACCTGAAGCCGATTTTCCTCCTCAGGCCCCAAGGCCCTAATGCTCCAAGATCTAAAGAGACAGCTTGAAACCGACCTGCACCCAACCCGCAGATCACCGAAAACCTATGCGCCATCCCAGAATCCCAACACTCTTAATGTAGACCCATGAGAAATAACCCCCCTGCTTTTAAGGGTCTAAATATGAGGATCCCAATTATCATCCCTATTAAGGGGAGGGGAATTATTATTAAGGGGTCTGAGTTACCCCTCTTCCAAGACGCACCCAAGGCCTTGGGTGTGTGTTTTCTTGGCAAACCTCTTATCATGCTTCATACTGCTTGGGTTGTTTTCATGCACCCTCATCTCTACATCCTAAGCTTCTTTTTGCTAGGAGGAAGCGAGGGAAAAACGAAAAAATTCTCCGAGCTAAGTCTGAGGCCCCCGTCTTCTCTCAAAATAATCTTCTCCTGAAGTTATAGGGAAAGAAATGTTGAGAAACTCCAAGACTCCAAGACTTATGAAAAAAGCGAAATTCTCTGCTCTTTCAGGGCCACTACAACCCTAAACCCTAAAGCCTGCATCCACAAATGCCCAAACCCCTGTCCAAGGCATTGTCGCGCCTCCTTTCGGACCCGCTCCATCAGCTCCCTCGCGCGAGACTGCTTGCAGTAAGATGCAAAAAGGCTTCGGGTGTGGTGGGCTCGAGGGTCCACAGATGTTGGGCCTCAATTTGTAGGGCTAAAGTTTAAAGCGCGTCCTTTTTGCGGGTGCTGCGGATAGCCTTAGGCAGGCATTCGGAAGTGGAATTCGGGGACTTGCTGTAGAGGTTAGGCTTAAGGCCCAAATACATTCACAGTAGACGTCTGCTGATGGGAGGCGCTTAAACGTCGGGCTTCCAAGCATAACACCCCGTACATCCCATGCAACATGAAGCCGCCCCGAGATTTGAAACAGTACTGCAGCCGCATTTATCAAAACAGCGAGCCCCTGTCAATTGTAAAGATCCGCAAAGGGGCAACTCATCGTCTTCACACATCAAAACAAGGCACACAAACCCTAAACCCCTAAACCCTGGGCCTCATTCTCACTCTTCGCAAACCTAGATGCTATGTCAACGTCCTGGGTTGCTGGTAACTTAAGGGAACCTAAATAACTTGCCATAACAAGGGTGCAGAGTAAATGATGGGGTTTCCCAATCATGGTAGCCAAATCTAAGTTCCTGAATAGCAGCATAGTAAGGCCTTCCTCTGACGCCCCACATGAAAAAAGAGCATCCTTGAGCTAAGAATGCCAAACAGAATGGTGATTGCGAACGATGTCTCATATGCTGCTCTGATGAATACCAGGAAAGATAGATCAAGAGCCGGACAATCTCCACCCACCCACCCACACCCACCCCTGCGAGGTTGAGTTCCCAAAACTTTGATTTTGCTCTACATCCTGAAAACCTACATGCTTCGAGCCCAAACCTCCAACGCCATGCAATCCCGAATCCAATGCCAGGCAAAAGAGATGGTAATTTCCCAGAATGGTGCGACCCTAATGAAGACCCAAAAATAGGATAACCCTTGCCATGGAAATCCCAACAAGGCACCCTGATTTTGGGAAACCCTAGACCCTAAATTGTAGTTTCCATTTTCTTTTCCATTCCGTATCCCTACAGAACCCCATAAACCCCTAAAGGGACTGCTACTGTTGGGAAACCCCCGATCAAACCTGGCAGTCTTCCAGCCTGGCTTGGTTCTCGAACATGCGCGAACGGCCCTTCATGATACACTGCACCTTCACCTGCCAGGGCTATGGTAGGTTTGGGGGCCCCATAAACCTCAAATTTTCATGGTGGTTTTAATAAGGATTATATAAGGGTTAAGGGTAGTAAAAATTAACCCCAAACCCTAAATTCAAACCTACCCCTGCAACTTATGAGCCATAGTCTAAACTCCTAGCATTCCCTTAAAACCCCTATAATACTGCCCTACATATTCCCCTGATTAACCCCCTTCGGGAGTTTAGACTATAGCTCTTATGGCGATCCATGGTCTGAATTACCAAGCTACCCTGACTGTCAGCAATCCTGGCCTGCTGTCGCTTGTTCTCCAGCCACTTCTCGATATTTCTTAACCTTGCTCTCTCACTGGCTCTACGCTATGCTTGGTGTTTGTTGTCTTGGGCAATTACGCCGATTGTAGTCCCCGTTAAGTGGATAGAATATGGCTTTGGGTATGTTATAACAAGATCCCCGTATACCCCATATTCTATTTACTTAAGGACTATAAACCTCAAGTGTTGGGGTCTGGCAAGAGTGCGGACCCAGAGCGTGCATTCCTAAGTTAACTTGTACACCAGGGTATATAGCCCCCCTTAAGTAGATAGGTTTGGGGGGTATATGGGGATCTTCTTAGAATAGACCCAGAGCCATATTCTATCTACATAAGGGTGACTACATGACTTCCTTAATGCCAGCACACATTTGTGTCGAAATGCCCGCTGGCACATTCCCGAACACAAAAGCCTCTACCAAAAACAGTCTTAACCACTCTGGGCCCAAGGCTTTGTGTTGAGATCATGATCTCCGATCGTGTAGGTGATCTTCACCTCCGGGGCAATCCAATGAAAGATGACACCCTTTTTTCTCCAACCACGCCAGCTCCGAGCATTTGGCTATCATGGGGCTGCGACAAGCTCTCTGCTACTGGAGAACCCGCCGGTCTCATAGACGCTGTAAATTTCTGTTTTTCAATCCCCTTGGGGTAACCAAACCCTTCCCGCTGTGAATCTGCCGCCTCCTTGATCTTCGGAGCTTTGTTCTTCGCAATCTCCTACCAATTACTGGATTGCTGTTAAGGAACTTAAATTAAGTTACCATAATGGGTATATATAGTAACAAATAGGGTTTCCCCAATATAGTAACTTGATTTAAGTTCCTTAACAGCAACCCAGATTATTCAGGAAGTTCGAGCTGTGGACCAGCCATGATGGATGAGCTTCATCCGTTTTAGCAGAGTCTTGCGAGTGCTGAGGAGGAACCCAAAGTTTCAGCCAATACAAATAGCTGTCTCAACCAGTTACCTTCTCGCATGGTTTTGAATGATTTCAGGGACTGTTATGGAACACAACTGCCTTGGCTTCAAGATGCCAGACTGCAGAATGTGGTCTTGCAAAACTACTACACTCAAAAAAACTCAGCCCTAACACCTCAACCCTAAATAGCAGTTTCTATTCTGTTTCCCATTATCCCAATCAAAAACCCAAAATATACCCTACTGTAATAGTTTCCATCTTCTTTTCCATTGTCCCAACATAACCCCAATATAACCTCACAACAACCAGAATCTGCAGCCCGAACACGCTCCATCTTAGAAGGCCCGGAATCACAGCTTGATACCCCTTAGGGTTTAGGGTTTTGGGTTTAAGGCTTAGGGTTTAGGGTTTAGGACTCTCCTTTGCTCGCTTCTTTTCCTCGTAGACATATTTGCCAACACCTCAGCTGCCAGGTGGAGACTGCACACGGATGGTCAGGCATGCAGGCTTGATACCGTGGGAAGGTTTCGAGCTAAAATATCACTTACCACCTTATAGTAGTCCCTATATAACCCATTATAGAGGTTTCCATGTTCTTTTCCATTCCTTCATTCCCACCCTAAATCCCAAACCTTATACAATCCCTATAATCCCGGTAGTTTCCATGTTCTTTTCCATTCCTTCATTCCCAGCTACCCGAAGGTAAGATCATCGGCCTCCCAGGATTCGGGAAGCTGTACTGAGGCAACATCACATAAAGCCATGGCCCGGACCTGCATCTCATAGGTTTTAGGGTTTAGGGTGGATACGATCCCAAACTCTGAAACTCAGGGCCCCAAGGCAAACAACCGGCAAGTTTCAGGTTGCGCTGGTCTTCAATGTTGCGCATGCCTGACCTACATGTTCTGGCAAGGAGCTCGACCTGTGTGAGGCTTCATTTGAGCTTAGGAGGACTCAGAAGATTGCTTTCATGGACGCCGAGGATTGTATTTTCTTCAGCTTGCCTGGGCCCTGGGCTGAAGATCTTCACCAGCGGAGGGTCCGGATCCTGACGGGAGGCTCACTCCGCTCACCGGGAATAATGTTAAAGCAGTTTAGGATCTGGGTTGCGGGTGTCAAACACTCAACCTGCAGCCTAAGTCAAAACAGGAAATCCCCTTCTCGCCAGCCTGAATAGTAGTTTCCATTTTCTTTTCCATTATCCCTATATAACCCTATGTAACCCCATATTACTCCTAAATAGTAGCTTCCATTTCTGGTTCCATTATCCCTGAATTTCAGAAACCACCAAGGCACAACCTAAAGCCCTGAAACTCGAGAGGCTCCTCGTTGATGAGGATCACATCCACCCCTTTGCTTTGCGCTATCTCCATCGCATCTCGAAGAGACATGATCTCATTCATCTCCTCGTTGGCTTTGGTGTGTTTTTGCACCCAAGAGCCAGGCAGGTGTGAGCAGGAAGAGGGTGAAAAGGTAGCTGGAAGCCTTTGAAAATGTTAGTATATAGGGTCCTTATGAAACCAATTAGCGAAAATATCTAATTATCCCAAAGGCCAACTCAGGTAGGGAGCAAACAAGGCTGGAACACTCCCCTTCTCAGGATCAGCACGGCAAAGCCTACGATGAGACCCGAAACACTCCAGTTCTCCTCCCATACCTGCAGGAGGACCTCTTCTTCCTTCTGAGCTTTTGTTTATATAACCCTACTATTCTTATTGCTACTATTATTATTACTATTGTTGTTACTATTATTCTTATTAATACTATTTTTGTTACAATTATTATTACTACTATTATAAATAATGTAAGGAGGAGCCCTAGATTCCTGTCAAGCATCATGGTGCTACCATGACTTCCCATCGCATACTGCACAGTCAGGGCTTTCTGTCAGAAACTGTAGAGACATGAACAGCAGTGCTTTGAATTTGCTAGTGATACTCCGAACGTCGTCTGGCCCTCCAAAGCAAATTCCTGAACCAGAACACACAACAAAGGCGAGCACATGGACTTCTATCCATCCTGGGAGGACGACCCTGAACCCCAACGGCAAGTGCAGAAACTGCCCATAACACCTGCAAAATTGCTGTAAAAGCCCCAACCCAACAACATCATCTCCAAGGAGGACCCATAGTCCCGGACAACTTTAAGCAGACACCGTATACACTCGCCACGTCCAGGCGCCTCCATGCGAGTGGCACCTGTCTCAAGCTTGTCACTGACAATGCCAACGACGCGGACCTGCCAACCAGTTAAGGGCAGTGTGCAATTCTAGTGACTGTAGGAGGGACCCTTGTAGCTTATTGGGGGTAACAGGGGTACTACCTGGTTATATAAGGGGTATACAAGGCCTATATAAGGGTTATATAAGGTATTGGGAATGCTCCACAGCATCCCATCGGGGGCAAACCTAGACCTATAGTCCCCCTTAAGTAGATATAATATAGCTTTGGGTATATTATAATGAGATCCCCATATACCGCATATACTATCTACTTGGGCGGGAGTATAACCCTAAACCCTAAACTCTGAATAGTCCTTTCCATTTTCTTTTCCATTGCAAGGTTACATCCCTGCATGGCAGGATTTGCCAACACCTGACTTCAAGTCTCAAACTGCGAGACCTCAAGAGACTGAATAAAAGGCTACTAGACCCAGAGCCCGGGGCCTGGTTTAGGCTTTAGGCTTTCGGGTTTAGGGTCTGGGGTTTAGGGTTTAGGGCCTAGGGTTTAGGGTTTAAGGTTTAGGGTTTAGGGTCTAGGGTCTTGGGTCTAGGGTTTAGGGGTTGAGGGTCTAGGGTTTGGGAACTGACTTCCTGAGCCCTGCAGCACGCCTCATTGGCCCGAATCTCCTCGTTGATTTTGTACTCTTGCTGCTTTATCCTGCGCACTACCCACGGAGCCCAATACCCCTTGATGAAGGAATATATAGCTTTAAAACATAGCTTAAACCATATTAGGAACCCAAATACTATTCAGGGTATATTCCTTAACTAAGGGGTATTGGGCTCTCCGGGTAGAGCTCATGGTGTGGGTCCACGCATGCGGGAGCGGCGAGATGGTTTACAGTCTTCACTAGGCCTAAGGTTTTGGGTTTAAAGGTTTGGGGTCTTTGGCTCTGGGACAACCATGGCTGCCCGGTCGGAAGGGCTGAAGGACTTTGGAAACTGCTCTTGAAGCCCAAGTTGCTACTCCTGCGGTAGCAACTTTTTGAAAGGAACACAAACGTGAATCTCAGCCAAAGTCACAGGATTGCGAAGTTTGATCCGTTCCGCAATCCACTGGGAGCGCAAGTTTGCAGTTTACAGTGCACTTCATGTAACGGTTTGAGGCCCGGTAGAAGACTGAATTTACGGTCTGCGTCAGGATTTGAACTATAATCTACGTAAACTCCTTAAAGAAGGTTATATAGGGGTTTATATAGCGAAGTATTACAGGGGTTTTTTGGGGGTGGAGTTGACAGCTGGTCGCCTCAGCATGTCTCAAAGCTCCCTACGAGGCTACCGATGTTGGGGCTCAAGACACGTAACGCGTTTAGGGTTTAAAGTGCCCAAATGTCTCCAGAGTCTCAACAACCAACTACTGAGTACGAATATCAAATGAGCTATAGTCTAAACACCTTGTATCCCCTATAATCAGCCTCTGAGTAGTCCCCCATATAATCCCCTATATAACCCCCCTTTAAGGAGTTGAGACCCTAAACCATAAACCCTATATAATCCCCTCTATAATCCCTTCATTTAAGGAGTTTAAACTACAGATCGAATTGAACATACCCCTGAACCCTAAACCCGAAACTCTCAACCCTGAACCATCCTTAACAGTGCCACTTGCTCATCCCAAAATAGAGCATTGTCTATAGTTCAACCTCCGTAAGAGATAAGTAGGGATTCTATAAGGAACTACTATAGGGGTTACTAAGGGGGATGCTAGGAGTTTAGACTATAGCTGAAACAAAAAGATCCTTACGAGACAGATCTTTTGTGTCTTTGAGAAATGCACATCTGCGTTCGCAGCGTGCCTTACCCTCACTGCGTTCAGTATGCATCCGGGCTGTTCTCAAAATTTAAATCGCATCGATGTAGGCCCTCATACAAGCTCCCAGAACCCCATTGTAATCTCCATCTACGCGTGGCTTCCAGAAGAAATGCCCTCCCCTTTCTTAGGATTAGATCATCTTGAAAAACAACACTCTGGCCACAATAACCATCCAAACCAGCGACAGCAAGTGCCCAGAAAACTTCACAAACAAAGCCGGAGGTGGATAGACCCTAAACCCTAAATCCTAGACGCTAAACCCTAAACCCTAAACTCTAGTATCAGACTGACAAGCTATTTGAAAGCTTTACCACCGGAGCTCAAAATCCCAAACCCTCAAACACAAAAGATTGATGAACCTCGTTTGGCAAGCTCCCAGAGAGCCAGAGAGCCCAATACCCCTTAATTAAGGGATATACCCTAAATGGCACTGGGGTCCCTAAGATGATTTAAGCTATTTCCCCTATATACCTCCCTAATAGAACCCCTATATTACCCCTAAACCCTGAACCCTAAACCCCAAACCCTAGTTACGGGGTATTGGGCTCCCTAGGTAGCATGGTACAGACTTCCACCTTGCCTCCCGTCCAGACCCCTGGCCGGACGCGAGACATTCGGGACGCGTACCTGTTCTTCCGGAGCATGTGAGCTATAGTCTAAACTCCAAGTATCCCCCTTAATATCCCCTATAAGAAGCTCCCTATGTAATCCCCTATATACCCCACCCCTTTAACGAGTTTGAACTGCAGTTCATGTGAGTCCAAGACCGCGACTCTTTTGAAAACTTAAAGGCTGATAGCTTTGGGGCTCAGGGAGCGGGGAGGCAGGTAGTTTCTGAAGAACCTTTGAGGGTCGGCTTCCTTCAGGCTTCGATGTCTCCGGGTCCCTCAGGTGCTCAAAACTTCAGGGGCCCCTGTTCTGACGCTGGGCTCGCAAACAAGAGGTTGGATGCTCCATGGCCCGCCTGCGACTGCCGCGGCGCGACGAAACTTCTCGAGCCTCAGGAAGCGCTCAGGCTTAGTACTCTTATTACTATTATGAGTATTGTGCTTAATCGTTATCACTATCATTAGTACTGTTATTACTGTTATCACTATTAGTAGTATTGATATTCCGACTATTACTAGATTATTGTGTTGGGCTCAGGGTTCACAGCCGATCTTGCTGGTTGTTAGTAGGGGATGAGGTACCATGTTTTTGGGGAACATTCCCCTAAACCCTAAACCATAACCATTCAGTAAATCATGACAGATTCCAAGTCCCCAGAAGTTCGTGATTTTTATGTTGCCATTTGTGTTGGGGTCCTGCCTCAGGCACCTACATTGCACGAGCACAACACAATCGAGTTCACAACGGGAAAGACAGCATGAAGGAAGGTACCATGGCATATTCGGAAAAAAAAATATTGGTGCAATAAGAAAACAGTTAGAAGCAATGAGAACAACTACAATACGAGTGCGTAGCAAATCCTGCGGTCGAGCGGCCAATGAGGGCCGCCACCACGGCCCCTATCATAAGCAGCGGTCGTGACCTCACGATCGGGAAAGCAGCTCGGGGCCTGGGATCCCTAAGGTTTAGGGTTTAGGGGTTTAGGGGTTTAGNGGTTTAGGGTTTAGGGTTTAGGGTTTAGGGTTAGGGTTTGGGGTTTAGGGTTTAGGGTTTAGGGTTTATGCAAGACGTGATGCGGACCAATCCAGCCTGCAAGACAGCGCCCGAAGTCCAATGCTTGGGGTGCCATTAGAAAGCGGAGGGCCCTCAAGGGGGTTTACGGTTTAGGGATTCGGGGTCCACCACAAAGCCACCGACTGTTCATCTTGACCCTAAAACTTAGCCCCTGACACTTGAAACCTGAACACCCTGAACCCAAACACCCCATCCAAACCGGTAACGAAAGCCCCCAACTGGCCTGGGTGCCATCCTGCTGCTTTCTGCTTGCTAATTTCCTGTTTTCTGTTTTTCGCGCGCTTGGAAACGATATGAACCAAAGCTGGCAAAGGTGCTGATAAGCAGATTTCTGAAACCACTTGCTGCTTCCGGGGTATGCAAACTCCTGTGCTGTTTGCTCATGTGAAAGCTGGGACCTCGACGTAAGTTCGGCTAACTTTGGGCCAAAATGCTTGCCGGGCAGAAGCATCTAGTTTCTTCGCTCAAAGGCTCCTTGTAGCTAGGCGCACAAAGCAAAAACAAAGGCCAACAACAAAAACATCTGAATTTGACGAATTCAGCATGCAGCGCTGCTACACAAGGAGATCTTGAAGATGGATCACTTCAGCATCTAAAGCATCCAAAAAGCAGAAAGAAAGCTGCAACTGCGCATATCCTACCCTCCCGAAGCTAATTAACATGGAGGGCCCTTCAAGCTTCTCTCCATCCTGATAGAAGCAGATCTGTGCTTCAGTTTTAAGTTGGAGGAAGGCATACCAGAAAACCCATACGGCCTTTGTGTCTACTTCCGTCTGACAAAGCTTCTGGCAGTGTCTCCACCTAGCTAAAGGAGAAGTTGCAAGGCCTTTGCCGGGCTTCCTAAAACTATGAACTTGTTGATTGATTCCACCTTGCGCTGCTAGCGTGGATGTTGAAGTAAGATGGAAGGGTTGATGAAACCTTTTGGGCGGGTTTCTATAGCCTAGAGACAGGACCTCTTTGCTAGCTTCCTAAAATTTCCATTCTCCTCTTTGCTGCTTCACTTCTGCGCTCTGCCTCCGCCGGGCCCGCCCAGGTGGGAGTGCGCGGGTGGCCCCCCGCCTGAGCGCGCTGGCCGGGCAGGGCAGGGACGCTTCTTCCCCCGCTTCTTCTTGCGGGGTAAGTGCCAAGACAAGGAGCTGAAATACCCCCTAATTGACACGAAACTAGGCAAATAATGGGTTGGAGGTGCTCTTACCTCCGGAAGCTGTACAAGGTGGGTCGCTCGACCCTAACAAAATTGCGCTTCTAGTGCCCCAAGGGCTAAATGTAGCCCTCAGCAGCCTCCAGGGTCTCCACCCCGGAGTCAAGAAAAGTGGATGGTTGGGCTTGAATTCGCCCTGATACGCCCATCCCTGTGCCCTGCTCATGGCAAAATTGGCGCCATGGTGGTCACGAAGAAACTCGATCCTGCAAGGAAGATCAGCAGACTTTTCCCGTTTGGCAGCAGAAAATGTTTAGGGAGTTGGGATTTTGAACTTAGGGTTTGGGGCTTAGGGCTGGGCACCGAAACTTTGCAACTCGGCCTACCAGGTACACATTGAGCAGCAGCTTTACGTGAAGATCTGTTGCAAGCATTGCCCTTGAACAAGCAAAAGTTAAAACACGGGATGCCGCTGGCCAACTTACCCAAATTCAGAATATAACTCAACCCCAATGCAACCCCAACATAACCCCAATGTAACCCCAATATGACCCAGAATCAATTGCGAACTCTACTTCGGTGGCTGCCAGCGAGGCTTGGAGTATGTAAACAGCTGCATGTCTCAAACCATGACAAACTCCTTAGGGGCCAGGCCTGGGGTTGCAGCGTTTGCTCATAGAATCCCTAGTAAGAGGACACATGCTGATAGGTGATCAAAATCAAGATCTGTTTTGCCCAACATGTCGGGTGCCGTATGCTTGCTAGTATGATCCAGGCTTCCCACAGGTATTCTATGATTTTTTGCAGCTGCCTACAGACCTTGATCTGCTTTCTCATCACATCGAAGCTCTGAACCCCAGACCCCAAGCCCCTAAATCCTGAACCCCCAAACCCGCACAACTCCAAACCCTGGGCCCTGAATTCTCAAATCCTCAAACCCCCAGAGCAAAGCCCAGAATTCCTGATATCCCCCACCCCCAAAACCCTCAGACAAATGAGAGTTTCCGGAAACAGGGAGAAACCCTTCTGTAGAATCTGTATCATGAGGACCCCCCCAAAAATGGAAACCTGATTTTGGGACTTTCCAAGGCCGGCCGCCTGGACCCTCGTAGCGGAGGCAGGTGAAGCCGGTCAGGGCCTTTGTAGCAAGGATTGGCCGAGTCCTGCTCAACAGCTGAAGTTGCAATACTTGGGGGTTAGTAGGGAGTGAAGGATTATGGCTGCAAGTTTGTGTAGCATCTCCGTTGCAGGGATCAAGGTTTCGAATTAAAGGTTCCCAGTTGGTTGGAGGGTGGGGGCTTGTTTTTCAAGGTTGACCGCCTAGCGTTCAAGAATGTCGATCCAGGGCTCAGGAAACTGTAGCGCGGCATCCAGTGTAAAGCCACCGCTTCGTGGAAAGCAAAATGGAGCAGCCAAAAAGATAGACACTTTGCAATCCACGCTTGTCAAGAAGATCTGCTCCTCAAAGCACAACCAGCTCAAACCGTTGGCTGCGTTTTGATTGTTACAGGCATGCGCAAAAAGCTTGAAATCAAAGTGAGTACTGCCAAAGGTTGTTGCTGAAGTTGGCCTTTTTGGTTTGGGTTTTTTGGTTTAGGACTTATGGTTTAGGGTTACCAAACCAACAGCGATCAAAGACGCAAGCACCATGCTGAGCTGGCAGTCCAGATTTCGCAGCGGTTGCCGCTGAATTCAATCCCGGTGCCTGGGCAACACGTACAAAAGGTTTCAGCTTCAGGGCTCAGGGCTTCGAAGAGATGATTCATACAACTTCTCAACGCTACAGACCAAGATTAAAAGTGGAGCTTCAGGATCTGTGTGGCATTGGCAGGTATTAAAGTATTTCAGCAGAAGCCAGGAGTGACAATGTTTTGTGCAAAGTTGTCGCCAAGCTGGAGGTTGCAGCTTTGACGAGGCTTCGGTAAAGATACTTCAAGGAACCTACCTAGAGGGTCCGATTGACGTAGTAAATATACCTATCACCCCTATAAACCAGATAATAACCCCCTTACTAAGTCCCCATGACGCTCCAAGTAACCTATCCAGGCCTTTTGGATGCGTATGCACTGAGCTCCGCCAGAAGCGTCATCGGCGCACAGCGTGTATTGAGGGTGCACGAATCAACACCAGTAATCCCCTCCCCTAATAATAAACCTCCCCACCCGCCTAATATCAAATACTGTCCAATATGGAATATTTTTATATATTGAGAATATTTAAGATGGGGATTACCAACACCACAGCAGCAATGTCGACTCCTCGCCGACTGTTAGTTCAGTGCAAACATGAGCATCTTGAGGCGAGAGTGTTTCATAGTGCCATCAGCCCCTGTCGAATTATCTTTGCGTCCTCTTGTGCAGGTACTGCTTGTTTTGTGTGGGTGCCCAAAAGTCACAGCCAAAGCTTGACAGCAATGAGAAACGCTTTACAAAGCGGAAGGTCATGATCTCAGGACCGAAACTGCCGATGCAACCAAATCCTGATAACACATCAGCTCACGCTCTACAGCCTTGTCTTGAGTGGCCCTTGGACAAGTTTCAGCCACGATGCAATCTACAGCTGCCACACAGCGGGCTCGGCAGTCCTGGATCATAATGTGCAACGGCCAAGTGATTTTCCAAACTGTGGCTTGTTTTCTGTTCAAAACGTCCCGGGTGTTGCCAAACATGGGGCAGAGGCTTAGGTTGATGAAAATGTCTGTGTCATGTTTAGCCATTGAAGTGTTCAAACGAAAGACGTAGTGAAACCCAACAATCATCAAGCTCTGCCAGCGGCAAGCGTCCCAAGGAGACACAACACCAACATTTTGTTGATCTTCGCTGCGCACGGTCCTGTATGCATGTTTGATTCGAACACCGGGCCTTACGTCAAAATTCACGCACGGAAAATGTCGGATTGATTTTGGGTTCCAGAACCGTAGGCCATAGGCCCTCGTAGGCACACAATACATGCACACACACACACACACACAAAATGTGTGTACACCGCATGACACGCAAGGGTGTGCGCAGAATGGCATGTGCGCACACCTGCGCACACATGCACGAACACATCCAATCAAACATGGACACGTACATGCGTGCGCATACATATACACATTTTTGAGCAAAAATGACCCGAAACGTGCGCGTATGCGGACATATGCGTCCGAGTGCCCACAGATAACCCTGCCATACACGCACGCATACGCAATCAGAAATGTGTGCGCGGAATGAAAGACATATATGTGCACACGGAATCACGCGTGCAAAATAACATCTCGGCCGCCCGACATGTGCATGCAACACGCACACGTTTGCATACATGCGCATACGCAAACCATGCGCGTGCATACATGCACCTGGAAACGCAAACATGTGTATGTGAACAACCGCGCATCCACAATGTACGCAAACATATACGTGCCACGCATCAAGGATGCCTGCACACAAACAAGCGTAAGCACAATCGCGAATGTACGCACAGACGTATACAGGCAAACACACGCATGTCTACGCACAATCACACCAATGCGTCACACACCCACGCATGTGCGCACACGAACATGTGCTGTGTCCCCACAAAAGAATGTGCACACATTTGCACATGCACATGTGCACACATGCACCCAGCATTTCGTGTGGCGTGCGAATGCGCGAATGTATGCACGCGCATCGATATGTGCAATGCAAAATAACAAGTTGCACATGCAATTTGTGCACGCGCATGTGCGCTCGCACATGCATCGGCGCTTGCGGGCATGTATGTGCGCGCATGTGCATGTGTGCACGTGCACAGAAAATAAATATGCGTCTGCGTGGATACCATGCTTGGATGTGCACAGACATGTGTATGCGCATATATGGATATGCACACCCACACACATTCATGTGTCCGCATTCGTACGACGAGACACGTGCTTGCACATGCGTGTCGGCGCGCACGCGTACCGGTGTGTGCGCACGTACATTCATGTGTATGCATACATGCGCATGTGTTTGTTACACAAACAAATGCGTGCGCGCATCAAAACAGGTGTATACGTTCGTGTGCGGATACTGTGGTTGATTACATGCACACATTCACACGTGCAACGCCGATGCCCCTGTAC